GGGTGTCCTCTTTGTTGTATTTTTGTTAATATGATGTGATCCTGTGTGTGTTTCAGGAGAGATCACCACCACAGCCCTGCTGGACCGAGAGCTGAAGTCAGAGTATATTCTGATAGTCAGAGCTGTGGATGGAGGTGTGGGCCCTCAGCAGAAAACAGGCATAGCCACGGTAACCAATGTATTTCTGATCCTAGCCCGTGTTCAATCAATTATAATTAGTTATAAAGACATATTCTATCACTTTTCTATTACATTATGACTTTCTTGCTTGTTGGCCACAATGATCAAAGGTCTTCTTATTTAGCTGACATAATTAATGAACTCCCACTTTCTTTAGGTGAACATCACCATCCTGGACATCAATGACAATGTCCCTATGTGGAGTGAAGATCCATACCATACCAACGTAGTGGAGATGAGTCCAATCAACACTGATGTTATCTCTGTATGTACACTAAGCCCAACTTTTTAAACTTGACATTATACATAGATGAATGGCTGATGGTTGAGAAAATGGTAAGGTGTGTGCAAATAAACCGACCAGACTAATACATATTAGAATTGATGGTTGCTGAACATCAGATTTAAATCATTAGTTTACTCTGTGATTTGATGTTATTACTCAGTTTGAAAACTTGTATCAGGCAAAAGATGAGTTTTAATTAAAAAAATAAACTTTGTTCAGAGTGATCAACATTGGAAGGTCATTATAGTATACATGAAAAACAGATGCATGTGCACGCATAGTCCTTCATTCTCAATGAACAAATTGCCATAACTGCCTAGGTCATCACAAAGTAAACACTCTGATATTACCCCAAACTCTCTCATCGTCCTGCTGCTGTCTCTGGCAATGTGTTGTTGTTAATTAAGCCCTGATTGTCCATTCATTAAAGAGGCGTCAGTGAGTGTAATTAAGGGAGTCCGATTGCTAATTAAAATGTAGCCTGCAGTCACACGCATAGCAAATGATTCAGCTGCTAGGCAGGAAAGAAGGCGAGAACCCATCTTGCAGAGCAGGAGAGAGCGGGAAAGTGAAATGAAAGTGTTACGCAGCTAAAACGTCGCTACATTTTACACTCGGCCCTGATCTCTCGTAGCCATTCCTCAGTTGAGTCCACTCATGGTGCATCCAGTGATGCGATGCATAGCGTATGTGACTCTCCGTGCTCGCTGGACAGACTGTTGCCCCTCTGACCATTTTTCAATAAATCAGACCACCCAGGCTTAAAGTCCTGTAATTGGCCCCAATGTAGCCCTGGCCCAACCAGTGTTTCCATGGAGACAAGGGGCCACCTGCTGCGTTCTCCTGGAGGTGTCCAGCCAGGCGATGAATTTGTTGGCTGTGCCCAGCGCAAGGATCATCCCACCTAAATCTCTGTGCCCCCCTACCATTGCCGCTGCAGGCCTTAACATTCAGCAGCTCTACACACACGGTACAGTCAGCCTCTAATATCTCATTTCAAAACACTATTCTCCTTTCTGCCTCTCTGCAGTCAGGCAGGGGCCACAGTTCAATAGACAAGGCTAATATATTTGCTCACCATCTTTTAATGTGCTCCGCTCAGGCCCGAATTGATTAGCTCAACTGGCCCCGGCCCGACACTTCCACACATCTTATATCACCTACCTTTGTCTGTGCAGTTGCTAATCAATGGGCCTAGGAGATGCCTGCCTACCATGTCCCCTAAATAATTAAATACCTGCAAAACCTTTGTTCCTCTAATGACCAATTAACCAGTTTCCAGCGTTTTTTAGTCAGTGCACTGAATAATTGATCAGCTCTTTAAGAATCAGCCAGTGTTTTTGCCAGGCTCCCGGCTTCACGCATTCATCACCCATTGCCACTTTGTGTCAGAAAAGTGACGTTAGCATTTTTCTTTGCGCTGACTTATGTGTTGAACAGTTGGAAAGTGTTGTGGGTGGAGAAGCTCTAGGGGTGGGATAGGGGTGTTCTTATTGCTATAACAACTTATATTGCTGTTTCCTTATTGTGTATTTCCTCCTTCCTCCCCTTTTCTCTCCTTACATTCCTGTTCCGGTACTACCTATACTACACTTTGCTTATACCTTTAGAATTCCTACATACATTGCATTGAAAACATACCTCTGTGTTGGGAGTTTATTAAAACTTCCCGGCAAAGAATATAAAGGGAGTATTTTTCCTGTCTCTCATCTGTCCAGGTGTTGGCTGTTGACCCTGACAATGGGCTAAATGGGACAGTGAGGTACAGTATCAGTCCAGAAAACCCCTTCTACACCATCAGCAGCAGCACAGGGAAGATCCGCACCAGTGGGTTAACTCTGGACAGGGAGAGCTCCAACCCCAGGGACGCAGTACTCATGAGGACTATCATCATCTCAGCTGTTGACCGTGGGTAGTCTGTGTGTGTGCGGTGGGATGTCAATGTGCACCCGTATTTGCCTTTTGCTGTGTAAATGTACCCGTCTCATGAAACACCTAAACCATGTGTAAGCAAGATCAAATCGCTTTATGTGATCCTCAGCAGAGGGCTTTCAATTCTGACCGATTAACCTCTTTCTTCAAGCCTCATCCCTCAAGTTTTATGTTGACCATGAAACTTTTACTGTGGCTAATAAATCCCTCTGACCGTGAGATGTGGGGCTCGTGTGTCTTTGTGTTCTCTGGCGCCCTCTTTAGGCGGGACACCTCCACTGCATGCATCAGTGAGCACCACTGTGTTTGTCAACCTGCTGGATCTCAACGACAACGACCCCACCTTCCTCAACCTGCCCTTTGTGGCTGAAGTGCCAGAGGGACTGCCCATCGGATCCTCCGTTTTTAAGGTAAAATATAAGACTATATCCATTTCTGATGGAATAAAAAAAAAAAGAATTATTCCTCTCATCTCATCTTTAATGAGATTGACTTTTCACTAACCTTCTCTACCTTTCTCTGTATCTTTCTGCTCCAGGTCCAGGTGGAGGATCCAGACGAAGATAAGAACGGATTGATAACAATGGCGTTACAGATGGGAATGCCTCGCCTCGACTTCGTCCTGAACACCTCCACCGGCATCCTCTCCTCCATGGCAGTCCTGGACCGGGAGCAGATTGGACAGTACCACTTGAGAATCATTGCATTCGACGCAGGGAAGTTCCCCCGCACCTCCACTTCAACCCTCACTGTCACAGGTCAGAGTCTGCAGATGTGGCTGCTGGTGATGATGATGAGAAGCTGAGTTTGAATTCCCTTTTGCTCTCTCTGAAATTACCCTACATGCTAAACTGCCAAGCCACGATATAATTGGATTCTGATATGGAGAGTTACTTCATTATGACAGATAGTTAACCACTGACTTCTCAGGAGTCTGCTGAGAATGAGGCTACCACCTGCTGGTGGGACCTGACAATCCATCAGGAAAAGGAAATAAAAAAAGGCAATGTTCAAACTGAATTGAACATGTTTTTTTCTTATCAGTCAGAAGCATCAACATATCCTGAACAGTTTTGGGTCTTACTTTTAGCTTCACCAGGAAAATCAGGATCAGCACCCTGTAGCTACTAAATATGTAATATCCTCTGTTTTAACAAGTATTAATATTCCCTGCACCACCCTGCTGCCTTATTTGTCCTCATGTACATCTATCTGTGTGTCCACATGTCTCTCTGTCTGTGTGTTTGTGTGTGTGGGTCAGTTCTGGATGTAAATGATGAGACGCCCACCTTCAACCCCAGCGTGTACAATGTTTCCCTGAAGGAGAGTGTCCCTAGAGACCACATTGTATCGCGCCTCAGCTGCTCTGACAACGACGCCGGCCTCAACGCCGAACTTAGCTACTTCATCACAGGTCAGAGGTCACAGTGGGAGTTGTGTTATGTCTGTCCGTGAGCTACAGTGTTGTACAGCTATTGGGAATATGTGCATGTACAGTACCTTTGTCCATCCATCCGTCTCTGTGTGAGTTTGTGTCAGCTGGGCTCCTCTTGCATGCTTCTTTTAGAATTAAAGCTGCACTGTATGTATGTGCATTGGCGTATTTGACTTATATTCTGTAAATTAATTTGGAACCTTTTTATGGTTTGTATTTTTAGGTGGTAATCAGGATGGCAAATTCAGCGTGGGCTTCAGAGATGGAGTAGTTCGGACTGTGGTTGGCCTGGACAGAGAGACCCAGGCAGCATACACTCTGGTAGTAGAAGCTATAGGTATGTCAGTTTTATACAAATCCTGTTATGACAGGACTTGTATTATTATGTTTTTGATCTTCAAAGCTGCCCCTTTCGACTTTTGCACGACAATGATGTAAAAGAAAAGTGATGCATGCACATGTGCAGTGATTTCAGTGTGTTGCTCAACTGCCTTTGTTCCTGATTGAAAAGAAAGAACCAAAACTCTGAGGTTTTCCTGTTTTGGAAACCATTGAGTCAGGATGGCTTATCTGTTGAGGGGGCCAGCAACACAAGGGAGAGGAGAAAAGGCAGAGATAATGTAAAACTGTGCAAGAGAACAGGATAACACATTTTGTTCTAATTCACAAGAAAATGACCTGATGAGCCAACAATGTTCCAGTCTTGCCTTTTTACAAGCTAATTTTGGTTTATTTTCACAAGATTAATGTATCTTTTAAGGTAACATATTAATACAGAGCCAGTTCCATTTTGTGTATACTGTACGTTGTAATGATGTATTTACGGCCTTAGCCTGTGAGATGTACAGCCATGAAATGAAAGCCAAGTCTATTTCCGTTGTCCTGGCGTCTACACTGAAATGTACCATTAACCTGAAGGATTGCAGCTGATGTGTTAGGGAATGCCTCTGCTTCTGCACATAGACAATGGTCCAGCGGGCAGCCGGAGAACAGGCACAGCCACTGTGTTTGTGGAGGTGCAGGACGTTAATGACAACAGACCCATCTTCCTACAAAACAGCTATGAGACCAGCATTCTGGAGAGTGTGACCCAAGGAACCAGCATCCTCCAGGTAGAAAACACACAAACACAGCTAAACACATTTAGTAACAAACTGCACTCAGCAGTCACACTTAAACATCATTTAATTTCATAACAAACACAAAGAATCAGCGTGGTATCTTTTGGCTCAGGTTGCATTTCTACATATAGTGCAGAGCTCTGCTGCAAAGAAAATCAATGCCCAACAACATAACCTTCTATAAAGGGTGACAAAATCCAAAAAAGGGTAAACCCTGCTACAGTCACTTTTTGATTTGATTTTGTAAACACTTGTTTAGTTGCAAACCTCATCCAGCTAGCATTCAAAGTAAACACGTTATCTTCATGTACTCTTCACCCACAGCTGTTATTAGTAATGTTTAGCACCATCCATGAGATAGTCAGTCAGTCCGTCCTGAGATCAGATTTCAGTGACATAGTCAAATAAACAAGGCATGGTGATATGGGGCTCCACACTGGCTTCTGGCTGTGCTGTCTGTCGGGCTGGAGTCCGGGCTGTGTTTAGGCTCTCGCGCCAGTGTGGCCTGCGAAGCGGCGGTCGTCTGAACGAAATGTTGTATGAACGCCGATACGATCCTAGTCTCCTCCACACCTTCAGCTGCGGCTCGCTGGACCCGTTTCCCCCACAGGTCAAACTCTCACCGCAGCTCGCCTCCGAGTCCCCGTCCTGCTCTGAGGGCCTGCACACTGCCAGGAAGGCGGCTAACCCCGCCAGCAGCAGCGATAGTCCCAGCACCACCATGATGGTGTATTCTGGGTCGTGGATATCTGAGGAATAGGATGGAGGCTGAGGGATGGTGGTGGTTGTGGTTGGGGTGGTTGGGGTGAAAATCAGACTGGACAGGGTGACATTTTCTGTGTAGGATGCCAAGGTGGAGTTGAAGTCTGAGACGGTGGTGTTCATTTTGTCTTGCCTCTGAATAAAGAAAACAACACTATTAGATTACATTTGTACATGTAATTTAGCTGAGGTTTTTATCCAAAGCAACTTACATTCACTACAATATCATAGACATGCCTATAAAAGCAATTTTAATTTAGGTTTAAATATCTTGCCTGAGGTGCCCCTTTACTAGTTAACCCCCTTAGCCATGTCCGATTGGAAGTTGATGTCAGGAGGTTTTGTGTGCATGTGGCATTTGTCTGCTTGTGTATGTTTCTCTGTGGATGTGAGTGTGTGTGTATGTGTGTGTGTATGCGTGTAGCCTTTGTAAGAGTACCACAGCAGCTCTCCGCGTCACTAGCCAAGCCTCACCAAGCTGAGTAGGTTTATTTTCACTTGATTGGGATCATACTCAAGGGCTTATAATAAACATGCACAAATGTACACAGAAACGCATGCATGCACATGCAGATACGTTGAGTGTTTGGCATTTGCGGCAATTATGCAGCTATTAAATCAAGGACTACAAAACAGTCAATGCTTGACAGGCTTTCTTCAATGTAAAACAAATTGGGTTTATTAAAATGCCCCTTGTAAAATGAAAAGCACCCACCTCTACTACCCTGGTCTCCAATTATCCCCCCCCCCCCAGCTTTCATTCCGTGCACCCCCATCTCCAGCATAGTAACATTTGTAAATGTCATCGTCCTTAATTCAGCGGAGACAAAGCATGGCTTATCGGTTTAAGGGAAACACATTGGGACGTGAAATTATTTTTAAGACCAAATGCCAGGAAGGCTGTGAAAAGGCCAGTGGAGCGGGATGGCTCGTTAGAGAGTCAGTTCATTAGTCAGCGCCTCCAAGCACATATGGCACATATGCACACACACATACACACAGCTATTCAAAGACAAACTTTCTTTCTCACCCGCACACACACTGTAGACGGTGCTGCACATATTCGTGATTAGGCACACTGCTCTTAAGCTTGGCAGCTTAGCTGTAAGGTACCCTCCCTCTCTATCGCCCCACATTGTTGCCCCTCCAGATCTGTCTGCTCAGCGAGTTGGGAAACAGTCAAACTCTTTTCTTATCTCTTTTACCAGCACACTTCGCATAACCTGTTAACATTTGTAAAGTTAATTTCTTTGTAACATTCTTGCATATTGTTATTTTTAGATTTTTTTACTTTTTACTTTAATCGCATCTTGATTGCTCGATGAAAGTATGTTCACCATATATTCTCTTCTTCTCTTTCTACATAGTGAAAGAAAATATGAACGGGTAATACACTAACGGTTTATCGATGTCAGATGTGTAGCCTCTGTTTGTTTATATTCAAAACTACCTTCCAGATAAGTCGTAACTCAATGTGTACAACAGTCCCTTCTTGCTCTCTTAGACAATGTGCACTTACTCAAGCACATGTCAAGCAGCTCACATGTTTGAAATGCTGGTTTTAGGAGTTGAACTCCAAAAGACTCCACAGCAGACATAAAAAACCTTTTAAGAATAAGGGTATGGAACAATAATGAGATTGTTAGCCATCTTTGACACTTAAGATTTGGAAAAACAACGTCATATTTACCTCTAAAATGTTAAGAAATAAACAGTTCTTTTTCTGACTGAACCTAAAAGTAATTTGTCATAAAACCCATTAAAATATATACTCACACCCACACTTTAGGGACTCTTTAAAACAGCGCCTTGCTTAGTTCCAGTAACTGAGGTCAGACCTGTTTCTTGGCTCCACGCACTTGTTTTCCCCCCTTAAACTGCTGCTTTCCCAGAGACAGAGGGGAAAACGCTGGGGAGGAAGAGGGCAACAAGTAGGAAAAGGGGGTAAAATGTGGGGAACAGGGAGCAACATCTCACTGCTGTTTTAAGTCCAGGGAGCCAAAGACAATACTGAGTGTCCTCAGCCATGCAGAGGCTTAGTGAATAATCTCTCAGTGCTTACACTCCACATGCTAACAATTACAACATCTGGCTCTGCAAAGTCGTCTTACAGTTTATACACCCCCTTTTATGGCCTAAGTGGTGCGGTCCGCTGTGTAATGCCCTATTCATCACTCCCCAATCTGACCCCCCAGCCCCTTTTCTCTCCCGTCTCCCCCTCCCCTCTCCTCCTCTTTTCTACTCCTCTCTCCACATTTCTTTATAAAGCTAATGAGACTGAAGTTGGGCCCCTCTTCACAGGGGGAGCGAGAGAGAGCAAAGGAGGACACACAGGGGCAGGGAAGAGAGAGAGTGTGTGTGTGTGTGTGTGTGTGTGTGTGTGTGTGTGTGTGTGTGTGTGTGTGTGTGTGTGTGTGTGTGTGTGTGTGTGTGTGTGTGTGTGTGTGTGTGTGTGTGTGTGTGTGTGTGTGTGTGTGTGTGTGTGTGTGTGTGTGTGTGTGTGTGTGTGTGTGTGTGTGTGTGTGTGTGTGTGTTTGTGCGTACCTGAGTGCTCGTACATGTGCTCGAGTGTCTCTGAGTGTGTGTCTCTGTATGCCATCGAATATGCACTTTGTGGGCACCTCCAGGGGGACTGACACATCCTCAGAGGAGCGGGCTGTGACATGCAGTCAGCCTCCTCCAGTGCCAGCGGCTCTGCGCCTCTCTGGATTCAGAAGTCAGTCTTATGACACGGCCCATTCAGCAGCAGCCCAGCATGCTCCACTATTTATCTGCCGTGCTCTTTGGAGCCGTGCTGTCTGCGCCGGGTTTGGGTTTTCTGGGTTGCTGCTGGCTCTCTGCCTGTGACACAGAGAGAGGAGTTCTGCCATTATACACTGACTGCCAAGCCATGTTGTGTTGTTGTGGCAACAAGACACTGTGTGTGTGTGTGTGTGTGTGTGTGTGTGTGTGTGTGTGTGTGTGTGTGTGTGTGTGTGTGTGTGTGTGTGTGTGTGTGTGTGTGTGTGTGTGTGTGTGTGTGTGTGTGTGTGTGTGTGTGTGTGTGTGTGTGTGTGTGTGTGTGTGTGTGTGTGTGTGTGTGTGTGTGTGTGTGTGTGTGTGATGAGAAAAATACTGATTTTTCCATCTTGTTTGTAGAAAGCATTGAATCGATTCATTCTTTTATGAAAAGTACTGTCAATCGCATGACCTTCGGGAGATCAACACACTGGTCAAGTCTTTCATAATTATGTGCATATCTTGGAAGAACTATCAACTATTGTCAGTCTGAAAAGTAAAAAATAACATTGTTATGGTGCAAGTTTTTTCTTATTCATTATACTTTTTCAGTGGAACACTAAAGTATTTATAAAACTAAAAGTATCCACAAAAAACATAAAAAATACTCATACATAATAAAAAATATATGATGCAATAATTATTATTATTTAAACAAAACCAAAAATAGGCAAAAAGAAGGGAAAAGAAAAGAGACACAAAGAGTATAGATGAAAGTATATTGTGCTACTTTATTATTATAAATGGTTTCGTTGTTGTGGGGCGTGTCTCTGAATGTGCGGCAGGAAAGCCAAGGAGGTTTTATTAGAAGGGATTATATTGTCTTTTAAGTTTGAAGAAAGCTGTTCCAGGTTTTCATGATCTGTTTAAAGATTGAGCTTGTGGTTAATTGCTATTTTAGTACTGTCTTCGCAATTGATTATGGTACCAGTTGCACATGGAGATGTATGTTTTTCCAGTTTTTTGTTTAAAGGGGACCTATCATGCAAAATGCACTTTTGTACGTCTTTTATACATGAATATGTGTCCCCGGTGTTCCAGGGAACTCACCAAGTGTCAGAAAACACAACCCTCTCTATTTTCCTCCATACCCAAATCTCTAAAAAAGGGGCTGCAACGGATCTGATCAAAACTGATCCAGACTTTCCTGACGTCAGGACAGTGGCGCTACGGCTATTGGGCCAACTCCACCAATCAGGAGGAGACAACCACGGCATTCCCGTTCGAAAGCGCTGGAGACGTTGTAGTACATATGCCAGGCCTGTAGATGGTGCTGTTCTCACTGAATCAACCCTTGCTAAAACAGATCTAAAAAATGTCAAATTGAGCAAAATGAGGCATGGCTAAAATGCATGATCTGTTTGGTATTTTGAAAAAAAAAAAGTATAAATATGCCTTATATAGGTATGGTCCTACACTATATTATTCAAATATAGCATGATAGGTCCACTTTAAATATTGTAGTTTTGTTTGTTTGGTGTCTGTCAAGTTTTGTTATGCAATAACAGCTGTTTGCTGGTGTTTGTCTGTCCAGGTTCAAGCTACAGATGCAGACCAGGGGGAAAATGGCGGGGTTCTGTATAGGATTCTCACTGGTAAGTTTTGCTTAACTTTGATTTTCCCTCCGTATGGCCTTCACATAATGGTCTCCTCTCTCACAAACAAATAAGTGAAAGAGCAGGCTCCAAGTCAATTAAAGCATTACATTCATTTTGGTAGCGTTGGTAATCCACGTGTTCAAAATGGGTGCAAACCACAGAAACATTTTCAGAACATTGTGTTTTATTCATTCTTGAGGAATGGTTTGATGGTTGATTTCGTGTTTGGCTTAATGATGGTTAAAAGGATGATCATTTTTGTTTCACTTCCGTGCTTCGTTGAGTTGTTTTCTTTATATTCGTTTGTTGTATTTATGCTGCTGTAGCGTGTAAATCATGGTGTAAATGCGTGTTTGAATTTATGTATACAGTCTATGGTTTGAATGTATGCCGTTGGACCCCAGGAACAATAGCCAAAGCTCATGTTAGTGCTAATGGGGATCCTAATGAAAAAATAAAGACCTTTGGTGAATCAGGCTTATCTGGCAAAATTCTTCTGATATGAAAATTGTTTCAAATGCAAAAATTCTAATGTAAGAAAGCAGTCGGTGTTAATAATTCAGATCTTACCACAGTAAATATATACCATTTGTGACAGGTTCTTAAATCAAGTTTAATTTTCATTGAAAGCCACTTAAATTATCTCACCCAATTTGCAAATGCCAATTGCTTCTAATCCGTGTATCTACCGTCCATTTGTTTTTCTTTATTAAACAAGTAAACGGAAGAGCGTGAGAGGCCTTTTTGCTTTTGACCTTACTAAATGGTCTAATGGTCATTGGAGCGAGGGGCGGGGCGAAACTCACGGAAGTGATTTCAAAACAAAAGCACTCGTTTGCTTGGAACTGTGATAATATTATACACAAGGTGAATTTAGCGATCACAACGAAAACAGCCAAGACACATTTTGAGCCCTGAAAACTAATGTTATTAAGGGCTGTAAATATAATAAGCCTATGTCTAAAATGGACAACATTGTAAGGAGATTTAAACTATACAGCGATTATTATTATTATATACTGCGGTCAACTCAGCCGTCTCTCAAGTTTGTTTTTTCAAATCAGCAGCTCTTCATTTTTTTCCCTGCTATATTCAATGACTGATACAAATATTATTTACCACAAGTTCTTAATAAAACTGACACTGTTGGACTCGGTACTAGTTTCACTTCTACCAGAAATAAAATGAAGTACTTTTACTGTGTACTTTGTGAGTAATCCTCTGTCAGAGTCCCCTCCATAGTACATAATGCATGTTTTTCTGCTATCTTTGATGAGTGATAAAAATACAATTTTACCATTAGTTCTTAATGAAATTGATACTGTTTTAATAGTCCTGTCTTTAAGTATAATACAATGTAAAGTCCTTTTCCTGCACCATTTTAAGGCTTCAAAACAGGCATTTTTACTGTATGTGTTTGGAGAAATAACACAATCAATGGCCCAGAATTGTACTTTATAAACTATGAATCTTGTGGTGCTTGAAGAAATACACACTGGCTAAGCCGGCCAGGATATATATATATATATGCCTTTTTTGGAGCCCTTTTTTGCAATATTTATTCAAATGTGACTAGTTATTTAAACAAACCACTATCTGAGGGTAATACAAGCAACCATAAAACGCCCTTTATCTAGAGAGCCATTGAAGCCCATGAAGAATTTATCCTTCCACAAATCTTTTCATCTGCTGTATTAATAAAGTTGGCACGTGTTTTCAAATTCAAGTTAAGGCACTATCTGTGCAGAACATTAAACATATTCTTCATTTGCAGTATTTTATTTTAAAAGTGTTCAGAAAGACTGCATCAATGATATGCTATATATCTATATATATATATAATATCAATATTGTTATTAACTTTAACCAAAGTCAATTTAAATAGCGAGCAAAAATGGGATAATTGCCATGCATGTGGTGTTTGATATAGTTTACGTTCAATTTAAAATATTTTAGGCAGAAAAAAGTATAGACTAAACCTTTTTTAATAATTTACTATAATTTAGAAAGGTTTTTGTGAGAAATCATTTCAAAAGTAAACTTTTTTTCCTTTTGTATTTCAATTTGAAATGTTTGCACACAACATTATTAATGTATACATTTTTATCAATTTTTTTAAATTATGAACCCATTTATTTTATTGTATTTCCTTGAGGCTGGGGAAGATATCCAGCAGTTCAACTTGCAAATGTTGTAATACAAGTAAGTATATAAGTATAACATGGACAAGTAAATAAAATAAGTTTAGTAGAAGGATGTGGATTTATTTTCTCTCACCTTGTAATTACACAATCAAACAATCTATAATTTAGCTCTGGCCTTCACTCACAAAAAAACATTTAGTTGAATTGGACACATTTTTCGAAGCTCTATTGACTGACACGCAATGACTGGGACTGATGGAAGAATCTGAGAGGAATGAACTAGGAGCAGACAAATAATCCTATTTAAAAGACAGCAGCATCATAAGAGGCCAACAA